AACTTGAAGGTCGATTCCCTTCAAAATATCTGGCCTGTTACTGCAGCCACCAACAACGCACTTGATGGGCATTTCATTCGCGAAAGAGCATAAAAATCGATGTTAAATAAGATTTTTGGAGTTGACTCGCGATAAAATCCACTGTCAAGCTTCGATAACAACAAATGCCTTGTCCTGGGATGACGTCAGAGTCGGTCCCAGTCTTTCCCGGTATTGAACCAAAAAAAAGAGCTCAAAGTGGACATTTTCGTATGTTTGTAAGCTCACCAAAAATTCGCTTTTTGATAAAAATGAAAAATTCTTTCACAGATACGTTTTCATTAACCTCAATTTTCATTTTAAAGATTAACAAAAACGGAGTGTCTAAACGTCAGGCAGCCTGACGTTTAGTCCCAGGACTAAACGTCAGGCAGTCGAATTTTTTCTTTAAAAATCGTCGAAACAACCGTAATTTCAATTAATACAACAAGGGGAATGCAATAAAAGACCGAAATAATACCGTTCGCCAAGTTTCAAACACAAGCACGGCATTTTGAGATTTTTCGACTGCCTGACGTGTAGTCCCAGAACTAAACGTCAGGCAGTCGATTTTTTTGTGTGAAAAATCGTCGGAACAACGGTAATTTCAATTAATACAACAAGGGAAATGCAATAAAGACCGAAATAATACTGTTCGACAAGTTTGTATAGTCACAAACACGGCACTTTGAGATTTTTTGACTGCCTGACGTTTAGTCCCAGAACTAAACATCAGGCAGCAATTTTTTGTATGAAAAATCGTCGGAAATAACCGTAATTTCAAATTAATACATCAAGGGAAATGCACTAAAGACCGACATAATACTGTTCTACAAGTTACACAAGCATGGCATTTTGAGATTTTTTGACTGCCTGACGTTTAGTTCCAGAACTAAACGTCAGGCAGTCGATTTTTTTTGTGAAAAATCGTCGGTTCAATCGTAATTTCAATTAAGGCAACAAGGGAAATGCACTAAAGACCGAAATAATACTATTGAAAAGTTTGTATAGTCACAAGCCCCGGTCACAAGCACGGCATTTTGAGATTTTTTGACTGCCTGACGTTTAGTTCCAGAACTAAACGTCAGGCAGTCGACATTTTTGTGAAAAGTCGTCGGAACAACTTTAATTTCAATTAATAGCAGAAGATAAATGAAATAAAGACCGAAATAAGGTCTTGGGCAAAAATTAGCAGGGGGAGGGGAGGTGGAAGTTGAAAAGTGGGCACTGGGAATAGGGTGACCAACCATAGTGGGGAAGTGAAATTTTCTACTGATATTAGACGGGCAAAATATCGCGACCCTCCCCGTCCCCCTTCAACCATTGCCAGAACAAAGTTTTCATTGCTTCMAAGCATCCAGTGAATGGTGCAGGGCCTATAATTGGACCATTCTTTCTTCATTTTGAAGGGATAAGGGTTATGATATTTGATATACAGTTGATAAGGACATTTAATGCATCTATTGTTCACTTTATACATTTGATATACTTTGTTTGTCTTTGTTGTTGTGGCTATTGATCCAAATAAAACACTTTTTTTATCTGTTTATACTGTGAACCAATTATTTTTATCATTAACTGCCTATCAAATATCCTAATAATTATCCCTTCAAARTGAAGAAACAATGGTCTTATTATAGGCTGCTGGCCAGGGACAATGATAAATTGTTTTGGTAATGTTTGAAGGGGGACGGTCTGATACAGAAAGGGTTAGAAAATTTCACTTTCACAACTSTGGTATGTCYGTATTTTTCAAAAATTTGACTGCCTGACGTTTAGTTCTGGGACTAAACGTCAGGCAGTCGAACAATCTCAAAGTGCCGCGTGTTTGCGTATACAAAATTGTCGAACAGTATTATTTCTGTCTTTGTTGCATCTGTATTGTCGTATTGAATTGAAATTACTGTTGTTCTGACGATTTTCCAAAAAAAAGAAATTCGACTGCCTGACGTTTAGTTCTAGGACTAAACGTCAGGCAGTCGAAAAATCTCAAAGTGCCGCGTGTTGGTGTATACAAACTTGTCGAATAGTATTATTTCGGTCTTTAGTACATTTCTCTTGTTGTATTATTGAAATTAAAGTTGTTTCGATGATTTTCGAAAAAAAAAATTCGACTGCCTGACGTTTAGTTCTGGGACTAAACGTCAGGCAGTCGAAAAATCTCAAAGTGCCGTGCTTGTGTCTGAAACTTGTCGAACAGTATTATTTCGGTCTTTATTGCATTTCCCCTGTTGTATTTATTGAAATTACGGTTGTTCCGACGATTTTTAAAGAAAAAATTCGACTGCCTGACGTTTAGTCCTGGGACTGCCTGACTGACGTTTAGACACTCCGTAAAAAAAAATCGTGAAGGTGCACTTTAAAAATGAAAAATTAAGCTTATTTTACATTTTTGAAAACCTATGTGTCAAAAACTGGTTGCCATGGCGACATGGATGACGTTATCAACAAAAAAATTACATCAACATCTGCCCAGATAAATTTTAGGAAAAGTCCGAAAGTGTCAGACCTCTAGCTGTCCTGGTTCGAAAGTTATTGGCTTTTTACGCGAGGGGGGCTCAAAAGCCCCCCCCAGTCTGAATAGGGTTAAAATGCGCTTCATAGTATTACTTGATTATTTTAATAGCTTAAAAAATATTATAAGATCCACCAAACCCCCCCCCCCCCCCCCCCCCCCCCCCCCCCCCCATACTGGGAAGACTATTGAACGACATTGCCGGATTTCAAACCGAGTGGGGACTGGGCAAAATCCCCTAATTGGGTAATCATGACATAAGACTTACATAGAAAGAAAGCACTTGTTGAGAAATGCAAAATTCCAAAATCTGGTGTCAATCAGTTCAATAGTGAACGAGTTACGGCCTTTCAAATATTCTAAAATTTGCAAAGAAATGTATGGGAAGCCGCAAATGTGTCCGAATTTTGACCATTTTCCGGACACATTCACGGCTTTCCATACATTTCTTTGGAAATATTAGAATATTTGAAAGGCCGTTATATAACTCGCTCACTATTGGACTGATTCACATCAAATTTTGGAATTTTGCATTTCTCAACAAGGGCTTTCTTTCTATGTAAGTCTTACGTCATGTTTACCCAATTGGGGATTTTGCCCAGTCCCACACGGTTTGAAATCCGGCAATAAGACTGACATAACTGGCTTGAGCTCATGAATATCGTGTCCATTACCACCTTATATTATGGCACTGCATGAGCGAATCACTTTACAAAGCACCCACTCTGAATACGCATAAGGTAAAAAAGAAACGTTGTTGGCTGTTTACTGCAATCGTTTGACATCCTGCACTGGTAAATCACCAGGTTTCAAACCTGAGACCTTTGCTAGGGTCATGGATAAAGATCATCCTTATTAGAATACTAATAAGGAGCGTTTTATCAGATATAAAGTTCGATGCATGTGACCAAATAGGATCATTCTATTGGCCTAATAACGCCTTAATTATGTATGGCTTTTTAAATAGATGGATCCAAGAGTAAAAGCAAAGAATCTTATTGTTCAGTGTAGAGGTTACATTCGGCTAAAGAAACATGCTGCTGCTATCAAGAAGGGAAAGGAATGCATTGAAATTGCAAATCAACTGGGTCAACCCGATCAAGACCTAATTAAGATGGAAGCTGCTCGAGAAGTGTGGCGTGCACACGAAATACTCCAGCAAGACGACGATGCTGCCATTTATCAAGCTATGTACGATGACTTTGCCCAATACTACGCAAACAGGTTGCCTAAAGACGATCAAGACAAAAAGGTAATGTGAAAAATGTATAGACTGTATAATGTAGAAATGTATAGAATTTTAGTCCCCAGAGGAGAATTTACATTAATTTACATCACTCTAACGTGACTTTTGTGTATAATCAGTTTTCGAGAAGGATGTGTCGCACGACTTCTAAATATATGGTTGTGCATGTACAAGGGACTAATGTACACAAAGAACACACTCATGGGACCGTTGGGAGGGGGTGGTTGGTAAAGTTAGCTTTCCCTCCCCCATAGAATACGCATTTTTTTCCATGACCCCCATATCTTAAATAGAAATATTTCTACCCCCCCTAACAATCAGTGTCAGTGTTTGTTATCATGTTATCATCTGTCTCTTAGTTTGTTCTATTTACAAAGCACTGCATTCATCCTCAGAGTTCGCAACACTTATGTCACTGTCAGTATCTCGGTTCCAGACAGCTTAGTGCCGTGTGAGCAGTGATTGATGTATTTGTGAAATACATATGTGATGTGATAGGTTATGGGTTTCACTTATTCCAGCTTTTTCATTTATGATTTCTGCTGAAAAATTGTTTATAACAATATGTGAAATATCACTTTTTAATGTTTTGAAGCTAAGTACATCCATAAAACTGTGAAATTCTTGAAATGTGCCTCATAGTATTTCACTTGATTTTTTTTATCAAGTCCCCCTTTATACCTTAAAAAAAATTCAAGACTCGTCCCCAATTTTAAAATCACCCATCCACCCCTCCCATAACAGAGGTACATAACTATCTAGTTATGTACTTCTGCCCATAAGTAATGAACGGTTCCCAATTATGTGAAGGACATAGAAACTTTTGAAAGACTTTGAATCAGCGCTATACACCGCCTAACTATTATATATTTTCCTGAAATATCTTCCATAAACATCCAGACGTTTAAAAGAAAGTCATGTTTACAGCTCCTAAGTCAAATTTAGCTGAAGTATATCTTGTCGATTATGAGGTCCACCGCTCATGTTTCAAATACTGGGAAGACTATTGAACGACATACAGTCCTCAGCTTGAATGTCGTAGCCATTACCACCTAGCTAATGGAACTACACGAAGTCTCTAATTTCTTTTCGATTTTATTCTTTATTAGATGGATCCAAGAGTAAAAGCAAAGCATCTTATTGTTCAGTGTTGAGGTTACAACCGGCTAAAGAAGCATACTGCTGCTATTAAGAATGGAAAGGAATATTATTTTATTATCATTATTTTCTTTCTTCTATTCTTCTGTTTATTCGTCTATTTCTTAGGTCTATCATTTGTTTTGTATTTCTATCTCTTATTTAAATATTCTAGTCCCTCTAACAATTTCTCTTACTATATTTCTAATTATTTCTAATCATTCCTCCCTCACCCTTCCCCCTCATATTACATCTCATCACTCACACAGACAAATTATCCTACACAGACAATCTATCAACTACACAGAAAATTGTGCAAATAAACTATAATATGAAATCAGAAAAACTGGCAATGAAAAGCGGAATTCCCCAATACCCTCGGTCCATTGTTATTTCTCATCTATATAAATGACTTGCCAACTCATCAAATATTTTAAAATTCAGAATCTTTGCGGACGATACAAACATTTTTTATTCATCTAAAAATCTAGATGAACTTCAAAATATAATAATTAATGAACTGCCTAAAGTATATAGTCTAGGTATTGCATTGCAAACAAATTATCAATTAATTTTACTAAAACCAATTATATGATAATAACAACAGCACAACAAAAAAGTGCGCAAATTATTATTCCTAATATTACACAGAAAGATTGCATCAAATACCTAGGTGTGTATATCGATAGACACCTAAATTGGAAAAGTCATATATCATGTATAAGTAAGCGTAGTGATCGATCTAATAAATTATTCTTGAAAATGACGCGCGATGGCGTCGAAACGTCGAAATCTCTTGTTGTCCTAACTTGTTTAACAAAAATAAGTAAGTAAGTCGCAAAAAATATCGGAATCTTGTATAGGCTCAGAAGATACTTAACCTTAAAGATGTTAACAAGCTTCTATTATTCCTTAAAGGGACACTATCAATGACACGCATGCGCGAGTAAACTTGAAAACACTAGGCTAGTGTTTTCAAGTTTATGACTCCAAGTTGGCGCGACATAAATCAGCTCGTAAACGTAAAGAGATCTAGAATATTCCAAAGCGTGTCAAAAGCAGCACAAAATGATTTACCTCGAAGGTAATACTTACAAAGTCCGTTAGAGGTGAGATTGTTACTGCGCATGTCATCCATTGACAGTGTCCCTTTAATCGCTTTCCTTATATAAACTATGGAATTATGATTTGGGGAGCTGTCTATAAAACTAGCATTGGTAAATTATCTTCTCAACTGAGGAAATGTACCAGATGTATTTTTTTCTTGAATACATGCAATGATCCGAATCCGTACTTCAAACTATTAGGCATCCTGCAGATCAAAAATGTTTACAAATTGAGAGTGGTTCTGCTTACACACCAAATAACTAACAAGTCTATAACCTCATATGATATATTCTCAACTGTACATCGTTATAATACAAGATTGGCATCCAGCAACAATCTCTATAGACATGTATCACGCACAAACTGACGATAAATTCCCAAAACCCCGTTTTGGATAGGTACGTGCCGCCAGCGGTCTAAATCCCTGACCCTGTTTAAGACACTAAAAAGTAAAAGTCCATACCCTGTTCAAGACAAATCGGAAAAATAAGGAATCGCTATCTACGCCGCAACAATCAAAACTGCAATAATGCTGACATCCATCAAAAGAAGTTTTTGATAACACGTTAATCCTGGGACAGTGAAACGGTATTTCTACGGTGTTATGAAAATATTACCCTGTCCAAGACACACAAAAAAATTATATCGGTCTCTTTTATCTAAATTGTAGAGCCTGTTTAAGACAATTCCGGGTGAAATGTATACCCTGTTTAAGACAGCAAGGCCAACAACCATACCCTGGCCAGCGGCAAATATATGGGAGTACCCCCCCCCCCCCCTAATTCAGCATAATATAATTACTTCTCTTGATATTAAAAAAAAGTTTTTTAATGTATAATATTCCTTTCTTTCAGCTTTCTTTTCCCTCTAATTCCCTTTTCCCTATTTCCTTACTATCTTATCTTTTATTTTTTGGACCCATAATTGACAATTACGGCAACCAAGTCGAAAGCATTTTAGCTCCTTTGGTTGCCGGACACTTATTCAAATTAATGATGTATTATAAATTACATTAGAAATATCCAATAAAATAAAATAATTATGAATGTAAATAATGAACAGAAAAGTGTGAATAAACTAAAATTGAATTGAAATTGATAATATTGATAACTGAGCATAGCGCCTGAGCATTCTTTTGTTTGCCCTATGGCATGGAATCCAATAATATAAATAATATAAATAATATAATAAACAAGAATCCGTAATCACAATTAAGCAAATTCAATGTTTTCCTGCTGTAGACGAATCACTGACGACAAAAAAGCGAGGACCGTTAATATTCTGAACCATCCAAAATTCTTTCGGAATTCCTCATGGAATCCAGTACCCTGATTCACGAGACTTGTCTTTTTTGACGTACTATGATGTCGAGGCGAGACGCCGTTCCGTTAAAGGGACACTGTCAATGGATGACATGCGCAGTAACAGTCTCACCTCTAACGGACTTTGAAAGTATAACCTTCGAGGTAAATCATTTTGTGGTGCTTTTGACACACTTTGGAATATTCTAGATCTGTTTACGTTTACGATCTGATTTATGTCGTGCCAACTTGGAGTCATAAACTTGAAAACACTAGCCTAGTGTTTCACTAGCCTAGTGTTTTCAAGTTTACTCGCGCATGTCATCCATTGACAGTGTCCCTTTAATCGGGTTATTTTTAAGCCAAGTCTCTGGTGTCAAGCGCAAACATTCTCACTCTCATGCTTTTTAGCTAACCAATCACGGATCGGAGTAATATGATCTGTTTTCTATGATGAGCTCTTATTGATTCGTGTATTTGACATGCATGAAAGTGAGATTACCAACGCTTGATACCAGAGATTTCGCGTAAAAACAAAGCGATTAACGGAAAACGTCCCGCCGCTTTGCCCCTCGACAACATAATAAGCAAAACAATAAAAGACAAGCATCTTGAACCAGGGTAGGAATCCAGTGGATTGGAAACAGAATCCAGTTGCTTGGAATCCAAAATTGAGGAACGCTTCGGATTCCTTGTTATAGGCGGTGTCTATGCATAGAATATGGCATTGGTAGAAACAAAAGATTAAAACAAAAACACGGAGTCACATTTTTTTTAGGCACATCATACGATTGCTTCCTACATATTTCGAGAATGTACGAATCATTTTTTTGGTTAATAGTCATTTTGTAACCACACTGGGTAACTTGTGACTTTCGTGCTTTTCTCGATTGGTGTTTTATAGCTTTGAAGTTGTTATAAATAGATATCATTTTGGTAGTTATAGTAATGAAGAATTTAGAACTTTCTTTTGTTTGTTTGCTTTGTTTTTCTGTTTCTTGTAGGGTCTTTCATAGAGAGAGGGTCGGAAGTCTGGATTGGGGATCTCATGTCAGTTGCCAGTGAGTTCATATTCAGATCTCAGTGAACGCGATTTTCCTATTTTCGGACGAAATCGACCTCGCCAGAAAACTTCTGAGCCATCGATCTGTTTTCAGTTCTAAGCAATTTGTCAGTCACCCTATCCAGACCCTAAAGAGATCCTCGTGTCAGATCACCTACCTGCTTAGTGAATGGGAAAAGACAATATTGATGATTTGCAATTCCAATTAACGCTATGCCGAAATAAAAGAGCCATGTTAAACCGGCATCCTTTTCGAGCTTTCGTTTTTGTTTTGAAACTAAAAATACTTAAAATTAGTTATTTTCTATATCATCCCTTTATGCTCTATGAATGGAGATGCTGTAGGATTCCACTACAAATGGATATTTGAAGTCACCACAATTTCCTTATATGAAAAGTCTAAAACACGACCGCACTGAATGCCGGTTAACCATGGCCCTTTTATAAATCTGTTTGGCCGAAACTGACAACAATGATACAACCACATCATTATTTTCGATAGGAGATTATTTGTGATTTTTATTTGCGATTTTTAAAAATGACTTCATTGGATGGAGTAATGCAAACTTTATCTTCTTGTAAATGAGTTATGTATTTAGTTAGTGATGAGTTTCGAATTTAATTATTGATAATTATTGATTTTATACTGTTTATTCTTTATTAGTGAATGCGTTTATCTTATGAATGATGTACACATTTGTTCACACCAGGGCTTGAAATAGCGGCCTGCCACTTGCCAAATGACGGACCAAATATAGTACTTGGCAGGCCAAAAATATCTACTGTGTAGTGTGCAATGAATGACATATGATCTCACAATCAAAATGAAAATAAATAAATATAAAGTTAGAAGTACTATCAATTTGGAAAGAGTTATTTTTACTCTCATCTTTGTGCAATTAGAAACAAACTCGATACCGTTTAAAGCAATCAAAAAGCAGACACCAGGACAAGAAAAAGCATACTAAAATTAGTAAAGCTGCAGAGTTTGAGAGTATTCGGATTAATAATTACAGAGTTTCCAGAGTTTCCACTCGTTCCCAGTCTCCTTTTGAAATTCGGAATGGTCAATAATCCAGTTTCGAGATCTTATTTGTGCAGCCTTAACCTCGAAAGCATGTAATATATTCTTTTATTCAGCAGAGATCCTATTGTAATGCAAGCACTCTGTGTACAAAGAAGACAATAAAAATTTATGTTTGATTGAAGCTAAGCTTGCACAAAAGAGAATTCGAAAACGAAACGGTACAAAGATACAAGATTAGTTTTTTAGTTTCATTATTTATCTCAAACAACTGTAAGAGTAGTTTACCCTGCCTAAATAGCGTCATTTG